CCGAGCCCGCGTGCAGATATATACAGGAGCCTTTGTGAGGATAGGGGGGCCGGGTTGGAGGTGTGCTTCTCTGATGTACGCTCGCAAAGAAATTTCCCTCTATAGGTAGCAGGTTTAGTAGCACAATGGCTGGTTACCGGTATAAGCGTTGCATGCTCAGAGTTGGTTTGTCGTTGTAGCTGTTCTGCAAATCTTCTCTAGCCTAGGTCTGACTGTGAGGCTCAGCGTGGCAGAGCGTGCCTGGGGTTGTTTAGACCATTTGTTCTCTAAGTAGGCACTAGAGACTTCACATGTGGCTACCAGGCAAATATTTAACTTTTGTAACCGTTGTGTCTGGAGGAGCTGTGGCCACTGCTAATTTTCTGCATGTGTGACCACAGCAAAAGTTGAAAGAGTGCATGAGTCCCTAAGCTCAAAAGGCTTTCATTTACAGAGATCTGATCCAATTTCATAACCCCATTCATGCATATAATTGTATGTAGCTATTGTTCTTTTGTTTGGCTTTTTCTTTATATTGGTAAATATAAAGCTTGGCTTTGTGCTGATGCTTGGTCTGCACTAATGTTCACTTTATGGTGGCAGGCATGCAATGCTGACAGATTCAAATTATGCCTTAAGTATGCACGCAAGTTGCATCTACCTAATTAGAGCAAATGAGAAATAAACTGATTTCATGGTGTGAACAGAAGGTAGTTGTGCTAATTTACTAGTTTCTAAGCTGGCCTGCTTAAACTGTTGAATGACTAAAGCTTTGTCTACAATATGGTAATCCTCGGTGGCAGAACAGGCTAGGGAAAAAGCAGGGGCTTTACTCAACATGAAGATAAAAGGTACCTTCCCGCTGCATCACATCAGCTCCATTTGCAATATATTGATTTCATCTACTTAAGTAATTTCGTCACCGTGTAGCTTCACATGCTTGTTGAAAAGCATTGTTCTGAAATATTTTTAATTTTGTCTGTTGTTTTTATGTCTGTTGAAGTATTTAGGTTTCATTCATCCTAATTGACAAATAACTGATGATAGCATTGACTCTTAAGTACTAACAGCAAGAAAGTACGAAGTTACCTAAAAAGAACTTTGATGTTTGCTAACTGCTATAGCTAGTGATAGAACGTTATTTACCAGAAGAGTGCTTAGTTCTCAACTTGGATGGTTTTTAAAATGATTTTTAAATATCTGCAGCTCATGTTGCATTGTCACTATCAAACCAAGCTCTATCGTGAGTGGCTAGCTTAGGCTATAATTCAGTTCATTTGCATTTTATGTCATCTTAAGTGGTTGATTTTTGCAATTAAAAAGATAAACTGCCACTGTATTATTTTTTCTGTCTGTTCTAGATACTATTCTTCCGAAGTTCAACATTGACTTTGTTGTAGCTCTGCTGAGGCAAGAAAATGCTAAAGACATCTGTGTCATCCAGCTACCTCCAGAAATAAAATACTGTAATTATTTTATAATTGTGAGTGGATCTTCAACGCGACATCTCCATGCAATGGCACACTACATGCTAAAAATGGTAAGGCAGTTCCTGCTGCACTCTCTGGGTTCTGGGGAATGGTTTTAAAATGTTGTGAAAGGAATTTCCCCAGGATTGGTTGTATTGGGGTGTACCAGGCAAGGTGAAACTGATTATCCTTATGTCTTTTAGCCCCGAATACGTGTAGCAGCTAACTGGACTTTTTTCCTCTAGCAGTACTAAAAATGTAGAGAATACATTTTAAAAACAGAATTCTCTGTGTTTAGAACAGTGATGACATGAGCAGAGTTTAGTGGCTAGAACAAGAGTGATGTGAAATGGTGATGACAACCCGTGTCCACTTTTGTCTTCTGTCCAGCAAGCTTCATGGCTATTCCCACTCATTCAAAATAGCTTAATTTGACTATTCTCAAACCCTAATCCCTAAAACTTCCAGGTTCTCAGATATATCATAAGGCTGGAAAAAAGACGGGATTTTATGAGGCACAAGATCCCCTCATGGGCTTACTAAAGCAGACTGCTAGTTAATAGTCACCATACTGTGCATGTACAGGAGGAAAGGAGCAGCAGCCATCCTTGCAGAGAAATCTTGCAATGTTTGGCTTTGGTGGAATGTGAGCGTTTCAGTACAAAAATAGAAGTCAGAATAAAACCACAGGTAGAGCTTAGGAATATGGACCAGACTTGGAGAGGGAGAAGCTTCATGGCCAGAAAAGAGCCAGCTGAGTGTTACAAAGCACAGTGTGAGGAATATCACTAGCCCCCATCTTGTATCAGCTGTCTGTACTCTTAACCTGTAACTTGCTTTCTCTTCACATGCTTTCTTTCCCTTCCTGACCCCATTTTCCTTTGGCTCTTGGTTTTACTTTTTTCCTTCCAGACCCATTGGTTTCAACTGTGAGACAAGAGGGGGGAGATGGTATTGCTTGTCAGTGCCTTTTTGAGTGGGTGAGAGGAGTTTACTGTGTTCACTGCAGGAACTGATGCATCTTTGCAAACTAAAATTTTGCCTGAAGCTCAAAGTTGTAGTGTGACTTGAATACACTAAATTTGAGTGCTTAATATGTACTCTATTATTTGCATATCTTGCTGGTCTTAAATCGGCAGCTCTCCATCTCCCCCAGACCAAGAGAGATCACCCATCCTGCAAAAAACATGCATATGCTACAACTGGCTGCTCCCTCTGGTGGCTATAAGAGCAGCTCTTTTGCAAGGGCAGAGCCTCTGGGGACATGTGCTGTCCATCCTGAGAAACCAGGAAGCCTGGCCAAGTAAGCAGGGAGTGGCTGAGCTTACCTGGTATTGAAAGTTTTCTAGGCAAAAAGTAAGCTGAAGCTTAAGCTGAAGCTCAAGATGTGAAGAGCGGGTGCTTAGGTGTGCTGTGAGGCAGCTGTCTAGTTTTACCATTACAGTATCTAAAATGTTATGGTAGTGCATGATTTACACTAAAATGCAGAGGTGCATGAGGTCTTCCTGCTTCCTTCTTCCATTAGTTTGTAAATGGCAGTCTTATTATTGCTTACCCCTTCCCACATGGTTTCATGTTAGAGGAAGGAAGGAACACTTGGCTTTGTTATAATCTGTTCAATATTACACAGCCTTTAAAGACAAAGCTGAAGGCAACTTGTAGTGGAGGTCAGCCTTTCCAACCTCAGTTACACAGCTGATGGCAGTGTATGCTGGGCTCTTTAGTATTTTAAGCAGACTTTCAGAAAGTCTTTGACAATCACCAGCTTTTGAGGATATCTCACAAGCTATCTTACAGAAAGGAAGGTAGAACTAGTTCTGAATACATTTTGAAAGTTCTCCATTCTAGTTTGCAAACTGTGGCCATTGTCCGGCAGCTCAGGTTATGTGGGAACAACCAGGACCGGTTACATTTTGTTGTAATTGCTTTTCCTGCGAAGTAGGACAACCTGTTACTTTGTATTTTGTGTTTCATGGCAGAAATGGCTGTTAAGAGCCATCCAGTTCACTCTCTGGTTCCTTGTGGCCTTGTGCTGAAATAAATGTTGTTTGTGGTTTTGTGTTTGGTGGTTTTTTTTTTCAAATTTCAGATTGAAAAAGGCTTCCATATTATTTTTTTGATTGGTTGCTTCAACTAGAAACAAGGTAGAAATTTGAATAAAGGAGCTCTGTGAAGATGCAGCTGACTTCATTTTTTTTTTTTCTTTTAATTGATGCTTTTTGTAAAGAAATGAGTAGGTTATAGCCAGATCCAAAAGAGACAGTACTTAAGCCTCTAGCTGTCAAATTTCTTCAGCTCTGGTGGCTGCTTAGGTGCTTTATGTATCAGGTGGGGAGAGTTTACATCAGGCTGGCATCTACAAAAGCTACCATGTTGTATAGGGAACCAACTACCTTGCCCTGGCTGAGCTTTTGCAGTCCAGCTTCAAGCTACCCTCACCCCTCTCTCACAGTGCTTCACAGCTTGGAAACCTGTGTTCCAGTCATGTTTTCCCCCCATCTTGCAACGAATGTTGAGAGCGTACTCTCAAGAGGCAGCCAATGTAAAAGAACAATGAAAGGTATCTGAAAGGAAATAAAATTTAGTGGTAATGGCAGTTAAAGGGAACCTATAACTGATAGACTAAGCAATTCAATTCAGTGTTCATCTTGAGAAAAAATGGACACCTATAAAATTCATGGATAACCGTATGGGAATTTTGAGCATTTGAATTCCAGATTTGATACTAAATCCCATTGAGAAATCTGTACTTACTTTCTACTGCTACAAGCATATTTTTTTTTTTTTGCGCAGACCCCAGGACCAACACTGAATAATTTAACCCCTTTCAGATTTAAAACAGCTCTAGACAGCTCAGCAAAGTCCAGCTTATCTGTTAGGTTTGGGTGCTTTTAAATAAATGCAAAGTATTTCATTTTCTGCCATTGCCTCTCCCTCAGTACAAGCATCACAAAGAAGAAAGCGATCCTCATACTCAGATTGAAGGGCAAGAGACGGATGACTGGCTGTGCATTGATTTTGGTAAATATTTGTGAATCTGACAAATACGAAGTTCTGCATGAGCTCTTTGTTGAAGGAAGCATCTCACTGTGAACCCTGGTTGCTGTGGAGAGTTCACAACACTCTGCTGTTTTGGAATTCCAGTTGTTGCTTGAGCTTATTGAGATACTAAATAAATTTTCACTAAAGATCATTGGCACCAAGAAGAACGTAGTAGCTACTCTTCAGTGGCTAAAACAGGTCTTAATAAATCGAAGATAACAGAAGTGGAAAGAGAAAAGCTACTCCAGTCAATTTTCTCAGGTTTTTATAATCCCTGTCTGGGGGAGTGGGGACTCTTTGTATGCTGCCTGAGTAGTGAACTTTTGAATGGACTTTTCCATCTTCCAGATCATAGCATGACATGGGGTAAAACCTCAGTCCTAAGAAATGGAGTTTAATTCTTTATCCTATAAGCGCAAAACTTTCTACACAAATATAAGAGACTGTGCATTCAGAAAGCATTTCTCCTTCACTGCTAGCTCTAGACCCTCACCCTCTAACTTTGTTTTGGCTTACAAGAGAGTGTGCATGGGCGAGGAGCACTGCAGCCAATGCTGTGAAGCCTTTGTTGCTTTACTGTCAGTGGTTTTGATAGTTATAACTGAAAAACGATACTGAAATTTAAAGGCACAACTAGAAAAAAAATTACATTAAAAGTACACTGGAATTAACATTCTCTGTTTGCACAGAATTAATGAAAACTTGTAAGAGAAAACTTATTATGTCAAAGTTTGGAAAATTACTTGGCTGTAGCTGAATGTTGTTGGTAATACAGGAAAGCTGAAAGTCCATCTGTAACCTTAGGGAGGGGACTCTTGCACCCTAGAAGTCATAACTTCTTTGGTCTGGAGTCTTGTGGTAGTCTTTTAATTTAAATCAGAGTATTGTCCCTCTCATTCTCCTGGCTGTAGTCTTGGAGTCTTTTGAAGGACTGACCAATTCCTAGCCCTGTTCAAGAACTGGAATCAGCAACTTAAGAGGAGACCTCCGTCAGCTGACCTGTTATATCTGGCCAGAATGGGGGTAGAAGACTTGAACTCATTGTGCAACTGGAATTGTAGTAGCGCTTTACTGTTAATGTTAATTCATTGTGAATTTGTCTTCTGTGCAGGTAGCATAGTGATGCATTTCATGCTGCCAGAGACAAGAGAGGTTTATGAATTGGAGAAGCTGTGGACTCTCGGTTCCTACGATGACCAATTGGCACAGATGACTGCAGAGTCACTGCCACAAGACTTTATATTTGGACTGACTCCTAACAGCAGTGATCATCTTGAAGCAAGAACTTAGTGCAGCTGCTGAGTGGAAAGAGACATGAGTGTGCCTTCACAGTTCTGAGAGATAAACAGTCTTGATTACCAACTTAACAGCCACTACAGTTGAGTGGTACAAAACTGTATTTATCAGATGTGCCTAGGTAATGTTCTGAACAAGCTACAAAAATGATCAGGATCATAGAATCATTAAGGTTGGAAAAGACCCTTAAGATTGAGTCCAACCATAACATATCAAAGAAGGATTCCTATCATTAGGGAGCTTCCTGGGGGAGCCACTGTCTCAATGGAGTTTGCAGTGAGTAGGGCAAAGACAGCTGCTTAAGCTGCATACCCTAACACTCACATCCAGCCTCTACAGTAATTGTTTTTCTAGTGTCTTTGAAAGACCGGCCTGTAGCGGCAATGCAAAAAGAAGAGTTGAGTGCTGCAGGGAAAAACTAGGTGAGGCTTTGTATATTAAGCCATCTGCTTCTGGTCACAGTGAAGCAAGTAATGTGCTGACTTGAAGGAGAATACAGGCTGGTGTTACTGAGCACATAAAAGCCATGAGCAGCAGTGGCAAGTAAATGTGTCAAGTTAACAGAACAGTGAGTCAGTTTTTCAGCCAAGGCCATTCTGGTTTTAATAAAAAAAAAAACCAAAACAATCACCCTGAAGAGCTTCAATTCTTTGTCTTCACATTAAAACATTCAGCTCATTCGAAGTGTGCAGTTGGCCCCTCACCTAATTTTCTTCTCACCTTGTTTCTAGAAAAGGACACCGAGGCAACAGGCTATGGCAGTGTAAGCCTTCAGCTCCTTTCCAGGGGGTGAAAGTAGTTCTAAAGGAAGCCCTCAGTCACTGAGCATTACTTGCTGCTAATGGACTGTTCAGCACTTTCAGAAGTCATTGCGCAGTGCATTTTTAGTCTGACTGCTGCATGGTCTAATAACCAGTTAGAAGAGCTTCAAGATGGTAACAAAACTGTAAACCAAGATGCCTTTCTCCACTACAGGATGGGGGTTTCATCATTAGATCAGGCACTCTTCCTCCTGGAGAAGCCTGCTCTGCTGTACATCAGGAAGCAGGAACACTTAGGACAATCACCTTTTTCCCCTCATAGCCCCACAAACTACTTGAAGCTCTGTCAACATCTCCTCCCTGAAAAGCAGCTGCTGTTTGTAGTGTTGAAGGAACATGACCTTGGTTTTTGCTCATGTGGTCGTGTTGTTTAGGGGGTAAGAGATGTGTGTGGTTGGGTTTTTTTTGTTTTCATTTTGTTTGGGTTTTTTCTTTTAAAAAGAAAAAGCTTTCTCCTTTGCTTCAGACATGTTTTCTTGTTGTGCCTAGCCTCTGTTCTTTCCAGAATAACTGCCCCTGAGTTCACCTGCTCTTTGATACGAGGCAGCAAATAGTTCTGCAAATTAAGCAAGGAGCATTTATTAAATGTAGTTAAACTATGCAGATAAAACATCTTTGCCCACAAAATAAAGGTAGTGGTGGTAAATCTGACTGCAAAAAAAGGTTTTTCAGAATACTTCATGATACTTGGCAATAAGTAATCCACATGGGGGAAAGATAACCTTGGCTGTCTTACAGAGTGATGGGTTCTAAATCAGGCATTTCTTCCTAGGAGGGATACGTAGGAGTAACTTTGGATCATTCCCTGAAACTATTTGCCTTTTACTGCTGCAGATATGTAATCCTAGATGAATAGGGGCAGATTCAGCAAACATTACACCATTATACAAACCCTGATTTAGTAACCAGAACCACATACAGTATCCTGTCTCAAAGAGCGCAATAACAAAAGGAGCGCCCAGGAAAGAACAGTAAGAGATAGGGAACAGCTTCCACATGAACAGGCTAGGACTCTTAGACTGGAAAGGGGTAAAAGTCTAAGACAAGACAAAAAAAGAAAAAAATCTGAGCCCACAAAACCCATTAAAATAGATGAAAAAGCATAACTGAATTTACTGCAAAAGCACATTGTAAAAAGGAGTTATATGGAGCATCTACTGGCTGCTGTTAAGTCAGAACTGCCAGCTCAGGAAAAGAACTTCCTCATCCCCTGTTTAACAGAAGGAGTTGTAGCCTGTGCTGAGCTGCTGCAGTGCCCCAGCCAGGTGACCTGCCTGACCTGGCCATGGGACCTGGGAATTTACAAAGACAGTCTGAACCATCAGGACTGTGCAACAGTAAACCCTGCTTGGAAGACAAAAATTTGGGAATGGTTCAGTTCTACCGATCAGGTGAATTCTGTATAAAGTAAAAATACTGAGCAGCTTACCCAATAAGTCTGCAGATTCATCCTGTACAGAGGCATGTGCAGGTTTGGCTCTGTGCAGGATCCACTGATGATGGGATGACCAGGGGAGACAATTGTCAAGGTGACACTTGTGTCATCGTTTCACCAATTTCCTGCACTGCATTTGAGTAACTTTGTTACCAAGCAGAGTTTGCGTTCATCAGTTGAGCTAACGTCTTTGTTACAGCCCAGCTTGAGCGCTTACTCCACAATTTTTCACGTTCATTTAAAAATCCTATGCCCTGGTAGCATGTGGAGACCACGCCATCCTGCACAGCATACATGCTTCATTAATGGAAACTAATACAGAGAGCGCATGCCTTTGAAATTACAGCTTAGGAATAAAAGCTTTGGAAGGTTAGAAGCAAATAAAAGCATCATGATTAAGCAAATGCTTAACACAGTCAGGGGCTTGGCTGTCACAAATGCACCAGCGATACAGAGGAAGGCTGAACTTCGTATGTTGCTCAAATGGCAGGGATGCCAGTTCTGAGAAGATGGCTCAGTACTGGCACGAAAAATGAGCCAAGAGTTGCCTGCGACATGCAATACCCTATACAGTGTCTTCTACAGACATTATTTCTTCAGTTCCCTCTTTCTGCTGGTTGGTCCCAGTAAATGGGCTGTGAAGACAAGTGGGAGGGTGCAAGAGTTTGGACCAAGTTTGGTGTCCCACTCCTCTTTAAAAGATATAGAATTACATTATTCATGACAGTCCTTCGTTCCCCAACCTCTCCCTCTCACTCCAAAGCGTTCAAGTTAAGCATCTAGTCTCATTTCTATTCCAAATAATGTTAACAAGGATCTAAATGGAGAGGCAATACCACCTCACTGGCAACTGGTGCGCTTCTGGGGGGTGGTGGTGGGAGCGAGATACCAGCTGCCTTCGCGTTTGCTCGCTCGTGTGGCTGGTTCTGCCTATCCAAGCTTCTAGGGCCATGCTCATTACACAGCTTCATCACACTGACAGCACCAAAGTAAAGACTAGGTAAAAAGCAACCAAAAAAAAAAAAAATTTACAGTTCAGATCTTGCTTCAAACCTGTTAAAGATACCTGCGTGTTCGCCCTGGGCCAAGACTGTTGAATACACATAGAATCATAGAATGTTTAGGGTTGGAAGGGACCACTAGTGGTCATCTAGTCCAACCCCCCTGCAGTGAGCAGGGACACTGCTGACTAGATCAGATTGCTCAGAGCCCCATCCAACCTGGCCTTGAATGTCCCCAGGGAGGGGGCCTCCACTACCTCTCTGGGCAACCTGTTCCAGTGTTTTACCACCCTCATTGTAAAAAATTTCTTCCTTACCTCTAGCCTGAACCTACCCTGTTCTAGTTTAAAACCATTTCCCCTTGTCCTAACACAGCTGGCCCTACTAAAAAGACGTTCCCCATCTTTCCTGTAGGCCCCCTTTAGGTACTGGAAGGCCGCAATCAGGTCTCCCCGTAGCCTTCTTTTCTCCAGACTGAACAAGCCCAACTCTCTCAGCCTGTCCTCATAGGAGAGGTGCTCCAGCCCCCGGATCATTTTTGTAGCCCTCCTCTGGACCCGTTCCAACAGTTCCATGTCCGTCTTGTGCTGAGGGCTCCAGAGCTGGACACATCCCTTCCACAGCAAATCAGCCTAAATGGTCCGGGTAAGACTGAAACCATGAACTACGGGTTGTGCTACAGACTGTACAGCGTTGTTATATGAGAGGGAGATGAATGATAAGCCACAGGGATCACTGCCTGTAGTGCCAAGGCTGTAACTGGGCTGCTGGATGGCCTAGCAGCTATGGAATACACGTGGCTGACTCTTGCATCCTTATCCAGTTATCATTACAGAGAACCAGCTTGATCAAAGCACCACAAGTACTTAACAACCGTCTGTCCCTATGCCTCATTAGTTTAAAAAAACACCACACAACTTTATCTGATGATAGGAGTTAAACTCTTTATTCCATTCAGAGGCATCTGGTAAGTGGAGCTGCATTGGGGGGCACATTACAGATGAAAAATGATCCATACTTTGTGGATATTGAAATCATTTACAGTATTTACTTTCTAGCTATTCCCAAATACTCCAAATTACCAAGTCTCAATTGAAAAGAAAAAACATGATTTACCATACTAAGTCTAGAAATTTAAGAGAGATGACAGTATTTAAATCAGCAGATGTAAATGCAGCGCCTATTTGTAAAGTAATTTTTATGGAAAATAATGAAGTCAAATCCTTCTCAAATGTTAAGAAAGGAATGTCAGACTGACTTAAGCCTCAACAAAAATTAAAATGCTATGACTTTTCATACTTCAGTAATTTTAAATTCATTGTAAGAAAAAAAAATTATCCTAAAGGCTAGATGAAGGTCACTGTCAAAAAAGGAAAAGAAACTCATTTTTCTTTGCTAAAACTACAACATAAGTTTGTGGTTTTTAAACCAATTAGTAAAGAAGAGATGCAGGAAAAACACTTCAGACCATTTTCAAAATTATCTAATCTGTACAACAATGATCTTTGGGAAAATTATCTAGTCTATGTAGTAATGCCTCTATTTCAACATGAAACTAAGAGGTAGATAACAAAATGATGAAACAAATGTTTTTGCTCGTTGTGCCCCTCAAATCAGTGCAGCATGGTGATTCTGATCATCTCATGCACAAAAAACATCACAAAAAAAGGTTCAGAGGTAATAGCATGGCTCTGTCGACCACACACATACAGGCGCGCACGCGCACACACACACACACAGCAGTCTTTATGCACCATGTGTTGCCACATTTTTTTTTTTTTTCTTAAACTGAGGTAGACTGAAGTTTATTGTAGAAACTTGAATGTGTCACTATTACCACAATCATCATTCAAATTACATTCGGAAATTAAAAAATTTGGTAACTTTCCTGTTATCCCTGCCTTTTGACATTTTTTTTTTCTTCTCTAATGGTTGGTTGCAGAACGTGCATAAATCCTGCTGCATCTATTATAAGCCAGGCTAGAGAGGTTGTCGGGTTTGTTTTTTTCCTTGTAATAGTTTTTTAAACCTTCAAAGTGGCTTAGTGTGGCCCATAACAGCGGCTGGATATGTAAACTTAGCCTTTCATTATCTTTCAATGTGATCAAACACTGTTTGACCTTCCCCCATCGTGGTAACTGAAAGCAGTATGATGCGATCTGCAGACAGCAGAGACCCTCGTGGCCTCCAATATGCTCTAGCAGATCAAGTGTTCTATCAAACTGAAGATGAAGCTTGCTCTTTGAACAAAATGGCAAAGTCCAAATGGGCTGCAAATGGTTAAATGTAGCATTATTAGGTAGTGATGGTCAAAGGCACAAAGGGTTCATGCATTCAATCAAGTAGCACAAAAAAAAAATTCAGCCTCTTGCAGCCTTCTAAATTTTTCCCCCAACCCCAGCCTCTTGCCATCACTTCCTTGTCCTGTTCCCAAAAAAGTACCGTCACAAACTTTTTCATCCCATCTTAAAAGAAAACTAAACGGCATTGCTGCTATCAGAATGTTGGCATCATTCACTATCTTTTGAACATTCACTGAATTTTTTTTTTTAAACAAATGATGGTGTTGAAGCCCTCAGAAAATCTGAGGCTATGTTTTTTTTAACCACCTTACTCCCATCAGCCAGCAGCTAGAAGTGCTCTACTATATTTTTTCCCCGATAAGTCTGTAGTACTCCTGGCTGGTGGCTGATCAAATTTTAATTTTTTTTAAAAAAATAAAATGCTCAAGAACTATTAGCTTTATAAAGTATACAAAATACCAAAAAAAAAGCAAAAAAGGAACAATTTCTCATTGAGGTACTAAATGCCTGAGGTAGTTTAGTAAAATGCATATTTATCTTTTTATGCCCTGGCCAACACCATTCAACACTTCCCTTAGGTTATTCATGGCAGTGTTATGTAAAAATGCAACCAAATTATTTTTAAAAAATGCCACTTGTTTCAACATTGGGAGTAACACTTAAACTCTTGTCAATACCCTTGCTCTAACCCTTGCCCACCCACAATCCCACCCTCCAAATGTGTTTCTTCTTTTACAACTGGACCTGTAAGAGCAATGCCTTTTCTTTTTTTTTTGTTTTTTTTTGTTTGTTTTTCTTTTCTTTTTTTTTTTAAACCAGTGAACTCAGAAGAGAAAGCTTCATTAAACCAAGTTCTAAAATTGTTGGGGAATAATAAGAACAATAAAAAAGACTAACGAGTTTATGTTAAATTGTGAGAATAGAACAAAAGGGAAGTGAAGGGGTCCTTATTTTAAAGCTGGGTTTCAAAAGTTTGAGAGAGCCTAAAGAATACATTCTCAGAGACAGCGTTCAACGGTTGCCTGGTCCTCGAACAGGTGATTGGCTTGGTGGATCTTCTGCATATAACTTCAACAGGTGCTCACCACCCGTCTCTCTGTCGCACAGTCTGTCTTTGGTCTGGCATCTGTCTCTGATGGGCCATTTCCTAAACCTTTATTTTCGTCTCGGCTGAGGCTGTCCGCTTTGCAATGTTTTTTGCTGTTGCTGCTGCCTTCTTACCTGAGCCAGTATTTCCTGAATTTTTCTCTGAGCAAGCTGAAGGACAAAGAAGAAACAATCCATCATGATGCCGTGCCGCTGTGACTGCCTATAGATGCTACTACTGGGATATTTAGAAAATCTGGAATAACTAAATTCCTAGTACTGACAAGATTACTCATTAGTTAAATACACTTGGGTTAATAATTTTTAATTTTTCTTCTTTTTCTACCTACCACAGCTACTCGCATGGTCAGTTTTCACATTTGTAATACAGAAAGCATGAGCATAGGGAGATGACTACCAACATTAAGATTATTGAAGCTACAGGCAACTTTCATTTTACCTCTGTGGAGATAGTAATGTTTTATAAGAACCATTGTTTTACACTTGGGTTAACAGGTTTTTTTGGTTTTTTTTTTTTTGGTTTTTTTTTTTTTTTATACACCAGGGAATCCAGAAAGTCAGACTTACAGGACTTGCCAGCCCTGCCATCTCCTTTCTGAACTACAAGTCACCTGTAGCAAAGTATCAAAAGGAATTGGGCTGAACTAAGAGTTAAGTGAGGGGAGGAATTTTATGATCCTTTTCTTTATGATATTAAATCAACAGATTGGGCGACGTGGACAAATTGCAGATATACGTGCAGTTCTTGCCAGGTACTATGAGATGGCTTGCACCTCACTTCCATCTGAATTTCAGTCCAACCACAACTTGGGTTTCCTTTTGCTTTGGAAGTTTTAGCAGTGCCAAAGCCTACATATATTGGTAGGAGAATTTAAGAAGGTTGTTTTATGTCTGTAAAAGTGCAATATTGTCATAAATGTCTCACAAGCATGAAGAAATTTTATCACAGCAAGACAATTAGAGGACCCTGGCAAGCAGTGCTTTCTGTATCCTGAGTAAGTCTTCCATCCCTTGGCTCTGCACATGGATATAAAAGACAGACCATGGAAACATTAAGGTAATATAGGAATTCATTCCAGTCCTCCTACCTGGCATGCATAGAAATGACCAGTTATTTTCA